TAAAAACCTGTGGATTTATGGACATTTTTAATTATATAAGTATAAATTATAAATATATATTTTAAATATTTTAAATTTTAATTTAAGGATCTATTCTACCTTGCTGGGGCCAAAAAATTACAAAAAAATTTGTTTGCTAATTTGACAGTGTCAAGTATGTAGAATATTGTGTGGAAGTCTTGACGTGGCCTTAAATATAAGCATATGAATAATAAAAAAAAGTAAAATTGAAACTTTAAAAACGTTTTCCTCGAAATATTTTTCAATCTAACGGAAATGATAGAGCCAAAACTATTGAACGTATCGCTTTCAAATTTTGCACGATTGTAGAGCAATGTTTTTTTTTTTTTACTGAATAGTAGACTAATTATATCAATATCGATACCTTTTTTTATCGTAAAAACAAGAACACAATTTAAGGCAAAAAATAGAACTTTTTTTTCAAATAACCGCCATTTTGTTAATTTTTATATAAAGTCAATTATCATCTATTCAGTAGAGATATTCTTTCTAAATAGGAAAATTGTTTTTTGAACTCTTTTAGATGATTGATGAGACCTGCAGTATTTCCGTTCTAGCGCCATGTTCGGAGAGGCTTCTTTCTCGATTTTATGTAAACTAAGAGTCAACATATTGACTTCATACAATTTAAAATTAAAGAGAAAATTATAACATGTGAAAACAATAAAGTATCTTCATTATCTTTATCTTTTTCCGATAAAAATTGCTAAAAAAATCACCTTCTTTTTCAAGCTATAAGATAAAATGGATAAATTATTTAAGGATATTTAATAGATTATTTAATAGTAATAATTCTATACATTATATACATATAATCCTACACATACTGTATTGTTTGTAATAATTATATATGTCAATATAATTGATATATATTATATATATATATATTCACTAAATATTCTAGGTATATTATCAATGACTATAATATGTGACACAATACATATATAAATGCGTTAAATGAAATGTATGTAGATCTTATAAATAAAGTATCAACAATTCTAAGTTCAACTTCTAATTAGGATACAATTGTTTATCAGTGATAAGCTAATGAGAATATATTTTTGAATTTTCATTATAATGCGAATATATTAATGAATATATAATAAATACTTGCCAAGATAAGTCTCATTCATGTATCCGCTTCCATGAAATATGTATTTCATATAGATCAGTTTAACTATATATTTCATATAGATCAGTTTAGCTATATATATTATTGTGCATATACTTGACTATTAGTACGAAAAAATGAAACGTTTTTTTCTTGTTATATTACTTCTGTCGATGACAATTATGAGTTTCGGCAAATTGCTTCCCAAATACGAATGGAAATATCTAGATATTCTCTGGGACAATCCGCGACAAAAAGAAGAAGCGATGTACTTCGGCAAATACGATCCTAATTTAGCTTATTTATACGACATAGATAGGGCAAATGGTAAGTTGATATTATTAATAAATTTTGTAATAATTCTTTATACGGAGATTCTTTATGGATTTCTTTATTACTGTTAAACGTCATCACGCTCTAGTTTGATATGATTTTAATATTGTTAATGCAATAAATAACTGTTATTGTAATAAATATATTCATATGATAAATATCTAATACACGTAGTACAAGTTGCATTTTCAAACAAATTTTTTATAGATGGTAGAGTATTTATTACTGCGATGAGAGACAAAGGCATACCAGTTGGTGTGTTGACCGTAACTGAAAAACAAGGAGAGGGTGGGCCACTTCTACGTCCATATCCAGATTGGTCTTGGTATAAAGATGATTGTAAAGGTATTACAGGCGGTGTTTATCAAATACAAGTTAGTATTAATATTTTCCATTTAAGTAACAAATTACATATTCAACTGTAACGTTTAAACAACCAATTCACTGTAACGTTTAAACAACCAAAAATATGTTTAATATTGGAACACTAACATATTGCTAATAATTTATTTATGTATAAAAACAATAAAATGTAGGATAAACACTAAATGCAGATCAGGTACTAGTTACGGATCACATATTATATTTAAATAATTATAATATTTCCCATCAAATAATACATATCACAAGATTCTTTAGCATTTGTTTTATCTTTTTTAAGTGTCAATTGTTTTTTTAATTATCATTATTATTATTTAGCAATAGCGCTGCACATTATATTGTCGGTGCTAGATAAACTAAGGTTACTACACGGAGAGAATTTTTTCTTAGAATTTACTCTGAAAGTATGAGTATAGTTGTAGGACAACATTATATTTCAAAGAATTTTAATATAAATCTCTCTCATTCATTAATAAAACTATAATAAAGTATAAAATATGTTTGATTAATTTTACTGAAGTGTAAAAATCTTTAAAATATTATATTGTACTACAATTATACCATATTTTCAGGATAAATTTTAAAGAAAAATTCTCTCCGTGTAAGGTATGTCAAAAATTCATTCAAAATGTAATATCATAAGGATTGCTTTATAGCTCTTACAGTAGGTAGTAAATAACATTAGATTTCATAAAAAAGTCAATATCATGCTCAGTTGAAATTAAATCTAAAAAAGATGAAGCATTTGATGAATTGATCCGCAATTAATACGTGGGGTCTAAATGTGAATAATTGTCATTATTTCATTTATTATAATTAAAATTAAAAATTATAAATGTACCAAAATGAAATAAAATCATTTATGATGTAATCTTTATGATCAATTATAACTATTAAATATTTTATTAATTGTTTGACATCGTTCTGAAAAAAAATATAAATTTTTCTTTTAAGAGTGATCCACTAGTAGCCTTATCCTAAATCATTTGCATTTTTTTATTATCTCAGATTAAATGCAATCATCTATTCATTGTGGATGGAGGCAGAATTGGAGACGATCAATTATGCTTACCACAGCTACTGATCTTCGATTTATCAACTGATAAATTGGTTAAACGTGTTACAATTCCGTTTAACATTGCTCATAATAAAACTGGCATTGGATTGATAGCTTCAATTGCTGTTTTTGCCCCGATTTGTCAAAATGTGAAAGATAATGCAAATGTTAGTATCTTCTTTTTAATTAAAAAAAATTATTTAATATAAGAGATCAAGAGATCAAAAAATCAAGAGGAAGAGAGAGAAAGAGAGAGAGAGAGAGAGAGAGAGAGAGAGAGAGAGAATTAAATAAATATATTTAAATAAATATATTGAATTTAAATAAATATATGCACCTATAATATTGTATTAATAAAATCGCGATACTTAGGTATTCATAGGAGATGTGGAAGGTGGTGGTATAGTAGTATATAACGGGTATACTTCAAAGTTATGCAGAATCGATTCTCATTTCATGAAATCAACTAATGAAGATATCGTGATAGCAAATCACCGATATCCTAATAGAGACACTATCTACGGTATGACAATTATTGGTGAAGGCAAGTATTTTTTTTATACAAAAGAGAAAATTTCCAGATCTAAACCTGAAAAAAAAAATTTTGAGCAGAGTCTGCTCAAAATTTTCTTTTTCAGGTTTAGATCTAGAAATTTTCTCTTTCTCTATTATATAATTTTCTCTACTAGTTTTCATCTTTGATTTTTTGCCAGAGAGGTAATAAATTTAACATGAAATCTACAATATCTGACGGTAACAGTAAATTGCTACTAGAAATCTAAAAAAAATTCATATGTTTATTTATTATTATTTTTTATTATATTCAAATCGTTCGCTTAAAATAAAAATAAAAAAGGATAGAAATAATTTTTAAAAATCTTTCAATACTAATGACATCACGATTTAAAATACTTACGAAACAGCAGTCTGCTCTATTTCGCACAGATTCTGCTCGGTTTCTGATATTAATCTATTATCAGATTTTGTCAGCAAGTTCTGCTTGATTTCTGCTGCAATCTATTGTAATTGTGTCAACAGGGTCTGTCTACAGATACAACAGCAATTGATATCATTTCAATCTGCTAACATCTTCTATCCAAACATACTACTATGCACGTTTTACTAACATTTTATTTACAGAGTATTATTTATCTTTTGACTTATTACAGCATAGGACAAGTTTTACGAATTTTAACAAGGAATTATTGTTTTTTTTTTGTAATTGTTAACTTTTATTGTAAATTTTAGATTTATACTATGTTCCTTTCGCGGGAAACAAAATGTATAAGACAAAAATGTCAAACTTAATAGAATGTTCGTCAAAGAATATTATTGAAGTTAATAAAGAAACTAAATTGGCGGGTGCATTAGGAGGCCAAACAGTTGCAATAACATCTGATAGATGTGGAATATTTTTCAGCGATATTACAAAAACGTCTATTATGTGCGCGGATGCAACTAAGGAAATTAATTCCAAAAACAAGGTAAGATATCCGAATATAATTATTCTTCATACTAAATTATTTATGACTTTATGATTTTTATTGTTATTTATGACTTTATGATCTTTATTGTTAAAAATAACTCTCAGCATTATATTTTTATTATCGTAAATGATATTGTTTCTAAGGAGCTCATTGCATATGATCCAAAAATGGAATTTGTAAGCGGAATGAAGATTAGAAACAGCGAATTAATGATCTTATCAAATAAATATCATTTACATATCTATAATGTATACTATAATAATAATACATTTAATAGCAACGAAATAAATTTCCGTGTTCTCTCAATTCCCATTGCAGAAATAAAAAAAAATACAAAATGCTTTTCTTCTTGCAACTACTAAGGTATCTTTATACTTAATATTTTATTGCATATTTTGACATATATGGCAACATATCAAATAAACTTTTTTTCATAATAAAAAAGTAATTTTAAGATGTGTATGTATATGTTACAGGAAATAAATCTCTGGATTTACGGGTCCATTAAAAATGAATTACAAATAAATATAATTTTGAATAATTTTATGTTAAGAATAAATAAGTTTTCCTAATTAAGATTTGTGTAAATATAATATATGATATAGTTATTAAAATATAAATAAAATCTCTCTCTCTCCCTCCCTCCCTCCCTCTCTCTCTCTCTCTCTCTCTTTCTCTCTCTCTCTCTCTCTCTCTCTCTCTCTCTCTCTGAGATATTATAAAAATCTATTAATTAAATAACTCTGAAAGTTAATAGTCACGATAAATCAAGATAATTCCTTGAATATTACAGAGAATAATAAGAGAAAGATTGTTATCCTTATGAGATGTAATGCACTCATCGACATCGGACATACATGTGAGGGAAATAAATAGCTATCACATTGAGAAAATATATAATAAATTTTAATAAATATTTATTTACATGTAAACATAGTATGTATGTACGTGCATGCGTGCATGCATATGTGAATAGTGTCAATTATACATTTGCTTATAAATATTTACTTACACGTAAATCTATCTTTCCGTGACTCATTAAATTTAATGAAACTTGATATATTTCTAGAACAAACGAAAATAATAGACATATACTTTTTTATATCAGCAATGATGCAGGTTTAAAGGTGCACACTACTCTTATAGTGAGAAGCATAAGTACTTAATTTCTTACATTTTAGCTCTATTATAGCTACTTCTAAATTTTAGAGATGATAAGAGGCTTTCACGTTTCCTGAAAACAAATCCAGTGTAAAAGAATGTAGAATTCAAAATTGCAAATCCAATATGACGACCTACTGAAAGAGAAACAATCTTATCTCGCTCTTTGCTTCTATATTTTCTTGTTTTTATAATACATTTTTACATTTTTATAATTTTTCCATTTTTTGTTTACAGTTACGCCACTTCTTCTCTATTTTCTTCTTTATTTTTTTAGTTTTTATTTTATGTACTCTGCAGAAATAATATTAAAAGAAGAAATATGCAAAGATTTTGTACATTCTTTTTTTATGACTATATTATTATAATGGCTATATTATTATAAATTATTATACATTAATTATTATACATTAATATGCAGACTTTTGAAAACAATAATCTACGAAATTATCAAAATCAAATGACTCTTCTTGTAAATATCTATCACAAATACTTAAATAAATATATAAAACGAGGAGAATATAACTGATATTTAAAACATAATCATTTAATTTTTTAAAATATTATTATCAGTCCTTTAAAATGCCGAAATGATTTTTCGGTTTGAAACTCTACTACCGCAGTAATATCACGCAATTTAACAGTGTAAAAAATGAAGAATGAATTCATTCTAAATTTTTTACATTAAATTTGCTTTCAGGAGACATATGAAAGCCTCTTATCACTTCTTAAAATTTAAAAGCAGTTATAGAGTGATAGAGTGAGCAGTAATAGAATGAGTTAAAATACAAGAAATTAAATGCACGTGCTTATTACTATAAGGTAGTTTGTACCCTTAAATCTGCATCATTGCCGATATAAAAAATACGTGTTTATTATTTTCGTCTGCTCTACAAATTTGATTAAATTTGGCGTCACGGAAAAATAGGTTTACTTGTCAGAAAAAAAAATGATAGATAAATTAATTTTTGTATCAAATAAATATGTCTTTGTATTTAATAACTATTTAGTTTGCACAAAGAAATGATTTAAATTTAATATATATTTTTCAATGCGGTCCATTTGATATGAAGAAAATATCTCGATTGATATACAAATCGATAATAAATAATATTGTTGTCTTCATAAAATTATTTTTATAAATATCAAACAATTATTAGAAATTCCTTGAAACATAGAAATTCCTTGAAAACAAATATTAGAAATATTATTAGAAGTGTTAGTTTAGAAGAATAGTTGCCTACTTATGCAACTTATGAACACTCACAAAAACAATATCTTAAGTTTCGCAATAGATGTTGAAAGTTATCAAAATGCAAAATAAAATTTTAATTAAATGAAGATCTCGTCTGTCTCGGGACTACAATTAGATCATGGGAATACAAACGGAAACATTGCAGCACTCGGTCAATCATGGATTGAACATGGTGCTTTGCACGAGATTGCTTGTCATAGTCAAAATAGTTATATCAGTTATAATCAGTCTTAACTACAAAATATCAATTGCATCGAAGATCAAACAACATTAATGGAGCGTGTATGCATCTCCCACTTGTAACACATCTCATTCTCTTTGTTATATTATTTCCCTATATTCGTAATGAAGAAACACTGAAATCGATTTATTCTAATCATTTATATTTACGATTTAAGAATTAATAAATATGCCAAGAATACCAAAATATAATAATAAAATATAATAATAAAAAAGTGCCTATCGAGCTGTAAATCACACAGTAATGTAAGCCAACACAGAATAACAATGTGAAGATTGGTTTTTTAAATTAACATAATTATAATCGCAAACGTTTCGATCCTGTTTCGGATCCTTATCAATGCTCCATGTAAATTGTTAACAGAATTCAGTCATCTAAGAATAATAATATAACAGTGATTTTTTTCATTGATAATCATCAAAAAACTTATTTATTCGATGTAGATGGGGCGCAAGTTGACATTCATAAATTTTGTAATAATTCTTTGTATGGATATTGTTTATAGATTTCTTTATTACTATTGTATTAAATGTTATCACGCTCTAAGTTTGATCATATGATTTTGATATTACTAATCCAAATAACTGCTATTATAATAAAATTGTACTATACATAATAATATTCACGATAAATATATCTAATATATTTAATACAAGTTACGTTTCCAAACAAAGTTCTTATAATTTTTATAGATGATAGAGTATTTATTACTGCGATAAATAATGATGGTGTAATGACAGTAATTGATAAACAAGAAGAGAGGTGGGCTTCTTTTATGTCAATATCCAAATTGGTCTTGGTATAAAGATGATTGTAAAGGAAGATCTTTTAATACCAATGATATCACGATTTAAATAGCTACAGCTGTCTACTCGATTTAGCACAGATTCTGCTGAATGTCTGCCATCAGATTTCGTTAGCAGATTTTGCTTGATATTTACTGCCTGCTATTATTATGCGAACAGGTTCTGACAGAAAGTAAGCAGAATACGACAGTAATTGATGTCATTTCAATTTGCTGACATTTTCTGTTCGAATCTGTTAGTCTGTATATTTTTAGTCCGTATATTCTATTAATATTTTGTTTACAGGAAATTGTTTATCGTGTGGGCTTATTACACCAGACAAGTTTTACGAATTTAAACAAGTAATTATTGACATTTTTTAATCTCTGTAACTGTTAACACTTTCATTGTAAATTTTAGATTTATTCTATGTTCCTTTCGCGAGAAGCAAAATATATAAGACAAAACAAAGGCGAACATATAATAATAGAATGCTCGTCATAGAATAATAATATTTATAATTATTATGATATTAATAAAGCTAATAAGGAAATTCAATTGGCAAGCGCATTAGAAGACAGTTTCGATAATATCTGACAGATGTGGAATATTTTTCAGCGATATTACAAAATATTACGATATTAAAATATTAAATATTAAACATTATACTCTATTATGTGCGTGGACTACAGAATATACATAGAATAGGGAAGTCAGCCAAAGGCGGAATCCATAGACTTTGCTCAAGATTCGAGATAGTCTTAAGCTAGTGCTTGAGATATCATGAACTAATCAAGAGAGCTGTATTAGCATCTTAAGACATTGCTTGAGATTATCTTGAGATTAAGAACCTTGTTAAGAACTATGGATTCTAGCCTAAGAATGTGTGAACGAATAGAAAGAAAACGAGATGGGTATCAGTATCCTTATTTAATCGCGCATACGCTGTTGATTTTCAATGTTAGATGGGAAGATTTCAGAAGAGCAATATATCGATGCCCCACTCAGTTTTCAAAGTTCGATGCTCGTGCAACATATTAGACAAAGATAAAGATGCCCATCCCTATATATATAAATATA